CAGCATGAAACAGATCAGCAGCAACATGAAACAGATCAGCAGCAGCAGCATGAAAGAGATCAGCAGCAACATGTGATTTTCCACAGTGATTATCCTGGTTAGATGTTCATGAGTCTAACAGCCTCAGGGTAAAAGCTGTTCCTCAGTTCTCATGCACAAAACAAAAGGTTTTCCAGTTTCCCCTCTTCGCTCCGTGACAGGGGTTGATAAAGACCAGGGAAAGAAAGGTGCGCTCGTACCTGTCGGACAGCAGCATGGTGTGCAAGACGTCAGAGTTGTGTGCAGCCCTCCTGTACGCCACCACGGCTTTGGTCACGACATTGTACACATAAAGACCACAGCCCACAGCTGCGAGGACGAGCTGCAGGACAAACAGGAAGTTCAGTGACGCGTCACAACAACACCTGGTCCATCCACCTGTCCCACATCCCGTGCTCACGTTTCCGTTGGTGCTCAGGTGCTGAATGGACATCTCGCTGGGTTTGGGAACACCCAGTCTTATTTCAGTCTGAGCGCTTGACTCCTCCCACAGGATGTGCTCATAGGCCACGTTGTTCCAGGTGACCGAGTCCCACAAGATCAATTCCCCGGCATGGGAACCACTGGCAAAACGTCCATCTGACGAGCCAGAAACAAACGTCTTAACAGAAAATCTTTTCCTGTGAAAATGCTTCCAGTGGGAATGATGAGTCCTGACATTTGAAAACTGTTTCTTTTACCATACAACAAAATGATGTTATAAAAGTAAAGCTAAAAGTCGTAAAACAACAGCTAAAAGTAGAAATAAACTAGCAGAAAGTTAACTAAGGCTAGCTAAAAGTAGCTAATGGTTGGACAAAAATTAAAAGTGACATCCATCCATAAGACGACAAAAGAAAGTAAAATGCTATTTAATGTTTTTATAGTGAATAGTATTTGAATTGTATTTTTTTATTTTTAAGTATAAAAGTTAGAGAGGCTCAGCTTGGTAGAGCAGCTGCCTCTCAGCGAGAAGGTCGCCGGTTCAAATCCCAGTCTGGGGATCTTTCTGGGTGGAGTTTGCATGTTCTCTCTGTGCTGCATGGGTTTTCTCCCACAGACCAAAAACATGCATGTTGGACTGACTGGTAACTCTAAATTGTCCCTATGTGTCCCAGTGATGGACTGAGACCTGTCCAGGTGTCCACCACCTCTCACACAGTGATGGCTGGACATGGACACCAATGACCCGAAAAAAAAGAAGTGGGTGAGGAAGGAAGGAAGGAAGGATGGATGGATGGATGGATGGAAGGATGGATGGATGGATGGATGGATGGATGGATGGATGGATGGATGGTTATAAAGACCAAATTCCCTGCCCTCATTCCCTGTATGAGCTGAAAGTTTTTACGTATGAACAGCTAAAACAGCAGAGTATTTTACCGTACGGTAGAATGACCCAGCATTCAGACATTAGAGGGTTGGACAAAGAGACAAACCGTTGACATTGATGAGAGCTCTGATCTGGTCCTGGTGACTGGACAGCCGGTGGACCTCATCCAGAGAAACAGAGGAGTCAGCAGAGATGGCCAGCCTGTAGATCACTGCAAACATCATTTAACGTTTATCCACCGGTCCTGAAACAGAACCGTCCACACAGCCCAGGTCTCTTACCGATCTCCTTATCCACAGCTGCTGCCAGACAGTTCTTGGGCAGCTCGATCAGAGCTGTGACTCCTGCAGCGTGAAACAACAGAGACCGTGTTCAGACAGCAGCAACGAGTCGGAGCAACGTCTGAAGCTTTCACTCACCTGTATCGCTCCGGTTCTGTCTGAGGCACCGCACCTGGAGGTGCTTGGTCCACAAACACAGCTCTGCCCCACCGGAGACCCACACAGACAGACGCTCCAGAACCAGCAAACACTGAGAGACACAGACGACAGGATCAGTGTTAAAACAAAAGAAGCTTCTGATTCTGACACACAAAGTCAAAGTTTCTTTATTTGTCACTGGAACGAAATTATGTCCACAGGGTCCCAGTTACATCCAACAATAAAATGTAAAAGAAAAACAGTAATAACATCTAAGATATGAACTAAGAAAAACATCAACTAAATATACACTAAGCACTGATAGAATAAAAACGTTACGTCGAACAGCAGCATGAACATGAGTCTGTGTGAGCAGATGAGCACGCATGAACACATCAACATGAAATAGATCAACACGTACACATCCTCAACACATACATGTCAACACGTACATGTCAACACGTACACGTCCTCAACACGTACACGTCCACAACACGTACATGTCAACACGTACATGTCAACACGTACACGTCCTCAACACGTACACGTCCTCAACACGTACATGTCAACACGTACAAGTCCTCAACACGTACAAGTCAACACGTACATGTCAACATGTACACGTCCTCAACACGTACACGTCCTCAACACGTACATGTCCTCAACACATACATGTCAACACTTATACGTCCTCAACACGTACACATTAACACGTACACATCAACACGTACACATCAACACGTACACGTTCTAAACACGTATACGTCAACACGTACACGTCAACACGTACATATCAACACGTACACGTCCTCAACACATACACATCAACACGTACACATCAACACGTACACATCAACACGTACACGTCCTCA